GTATTGGGACAAAACAAAAAAAGGGAGGAAAGAAAGCAAATTCGACATAATGTCACACAAACCTCCAAAAATGGGCTGGACAAAAGTATTGGCACCCTTTCACAACTGCGGATAAATAAGAATTTTACAAGCATGTGATGCTCCTGTAAACTCACCTGGGGCAAGTAACAGGTGTGGGCAATATAGAAATCACACCTGAAAGCAGATAAAAAGGAGAGACGTTCACTTAACCTTTGCATTGTGTGTCTGTCTGTGCCCCACACTAAGCATGGACAACAGAAAGAGGAGACGAGAACTGTCTGAGGACCTGAGAACCAAAATTTGTGGCAAAATATCAACAATCTCAAGGTTACAAGTCCATCTCCATTAGAACTAGATTTGCCTTTGTCCACAGTGCGCAACATTATCAAGAAGTTTGCAACCCATGGCACTGTAGCTAATCTCCCTGGTCGTGGACGGATGAGGAAAATTGATGAAATTTGTTTTTTTTATTTTTTTAGTCCGGATGGTGGATAAGCAGCCCCAAACATGTTCCAAAGACATTCAAGCTGTCCTGCAGGCTCAGGGAGCATCAGTGTCAGCGCGAACTATCCGTCGACATTTAAATGAAATGAAACGCTATGGCAGGAGACCCAGGAGGACCCCACTTTGACACAGAGACATAAAAAAGCAAGACTACAGTTTTGCCAAAATGTACTTGAGTAAGCCAAAAGCCTTCTGGGAAAACGTCTTGTGGACAGATGAGACCAAGATAGAGCTTTTCGGTAAAGCACATCATTCTACTGTTTACCGAAAACGGAATGAGGCCTACAAAAGAACAAAACACAGTACCTACGGTAAAATATGGTGGAGGTTCAATGATGTTTTGGGGTTGTTTTGCTGCCTCTGGCACTGGGTGCCTTGACTGTGTGCAAGGCATCATGAAATCTGAGGATTACCAAAGGATTTTGGGTCGCACTGTAGGGCCCAGTGTCAGAAAGCTGGGTTTGCGTCCAAGATCCTGGGTCTTCCAGCAGGACAATGACCCCAAACATACGTCAAAAAGCACTCAGAAATGGATGGCAAAGAAGCGCTGGAGAGTTTTCTGAAGTGGCCAGCAATGAGCCCAGATCTAAATCCCATTGAACACCTGTGGAGAGATCTTAAAATTGCTGTTGGGAAAAGGTGTCCTTCCAATAAGAGAGACCTGGAGCTGTTTGCAAAGGAAGAGTGGTCCAAAATTCCGGGTGAGAGGTGTCAGAAGCTTATTGATGGTTATAGAAGCGACTGATTTCAGTTATGTTTTCCAAAGGGTGTGCAAACCAAATATTAAGTTAAGGGTGCCAATACTTTTTGTCCAGCCCATTTTTGGGGTTTTGTGTGACATTATGTCATATTTGCTTTTCTGCCTCTGTTTTATATTTGTTCCAATACATACAAAGGGAATAAAACATGTGTATAGCAAAACATGTGTTAATGCAATACCTTTTTTTGTGTGAAATACTTGATTTTCAGGAAAAATATCAAGGGTGCCAACAAGTTTTTCGGCCATGACTGTATGTATGCATGTGTGTGTGTGTGTGTGTATATATGTATTTGTGTTTTGTGTGTTGTGTGTATGTATGTATGTATATATGTATGCATGTGTGTGTGTGTATGTATATATGTATGCATGTGTGTGTGTATGTATGTATGTATATATGTATGCGTGTGTGTGTATATGTATGTATGTATATATGTATCTGTGTGTGTGTGTGTATATATATATATATATGTGTATGTGTGTGTGTGTGTGTGTGTGTGTGTGTGTATATAATATATTAAATATATATATATATATATATATATATATATACATACACACATATACATACACACATGGATACATATATACATACATACATATACACACACACACACATGCATACATATATACATTACATACATATATACACACACACTGTATGTTGAAATTCATTTTTATTACAACATATGTGAAAAATATTTTTAAAAATACATTTTCAAATATACTGCATGTCTTTTAAATTTATGAATCTGCGTTTCTGGAATGCATTTACAAATATATGTAAAAATAGACGTTAAAATTATTTTTTATATGTTAAAAATCTGAAGAATATATTTAAAAAATATTTCTCATATAACATATAAAAAAATAATTTTAACATCTATTTTTACATATATATGTAAATTCGTTTTTTATTACAAAACATGAAAAAAAAATTATATATATATATATTATACACACACTGTATGTTGAAATTCATTTTTATTGCAAAATATTTTTAAAAATACATTTCCAAATCTACTGTATGTCTTTTAAATATACGAATCTATATTTCTGGAATGCACTTACAAATATATGCAAAAATTATATGTTAAAATTATTTTTTATATGTTAAAAAAAATCTGAAGAATATATTTTAAAAAAATTTCACATATTTTGTAATATATAAAAAACGCATTTTAACATGCAGTTGTGTATATTATATATATATGTAATTTGATATTTTTTGAAATGTATTGATATTTATTGAATTATATTGAATATGGCCAAAATTGCAGTATTTCAAATCTGTTTTTCTACCATGTGGGCGGTTTATCCGCAGTCTTCTCTTCTCTACAACCTACTCACACTACAAACATCAAAGTCTTCTTCTGAGCCTCCAACAGACGGGGATGGGGAACTGATGTGAGCTGAGTGTAATCTGAGACCTGAGTGGAGGGAATGGACAGCCTCCTAGGGCAGGGGTAGGCAACCTGCGGCTCTCTAGCTGTTTGTAGAACTACATCTCCCATGAGGCATTGCAACATTACAAAACTGACAGTTACAGCTATGACTTGCAGAGGCATGATGGAACTTGTAGTCCTGCAACAGCTGGAGAGCCACAGGTTGCCTACCCCTGGTCTAGGGGGAAACATGCACAGCTGAGGCTGTCAACCACCTGCTGTGTGCAGAGGGGGCAGGTTTTTCTCACTCTCAGGATTGCCAGAAATGACTCCTACAGAGTGCAGAGGAAGGGGAGGGCAGCCAGAAATCGCACCAGGTGCTTTGGATTGAGGCAAGCAGACATTATAGAAGGATCTGCTTTGTTCATTTTTAATTTCAGAGGTTAAAAAAAAACCACTTTAAATTCAGCAGAGCATAGCCAGGGCATCATCTGGCTGTGCTGTGTGCAGAGCTGTGCAGTTCTCAGGACTGGATGGACAAGAGTTGATCCCGTCTCATTTTTTTTTTTTTTTTTTTTTTTTTTTTTGCTGTTGTCCTTTTATAGGGTCTTCAAGTCTCCACCAAGCAAAAAATTTCCCCTGGGACCTGTTTGAAGGGTTAAAGCAGTCGGCTCCTCTCTCCTGGGGGTGGTTCGGGACGGTGCGGGTGGATCGGCGCGTGTCCCGCATGGAGGAGCAGCAGCGTTTACTTCTGTACCACACCCACCTGAAACCGAAGCCACGTACGTATTACTTGGAGCCCCTGCCCCTCCCCCCCGAGGACGAGGAGCCACCCACCCCCACCAGCAGCGAGCCAGAGAAGAAGATCAGCGACCCGCTGAAAGTGGACAAGGGCGGAGCGGGCGGCACTGGGGGCGGGGGTGGGGGCGAAGATCGAAAGAAGCAAAGCAAGAAGAAGAAAAGTCGCCAGGCTGCAAACAAAGGAGAGGTAATTGTGGGAAGTGTGCGCACACCTTACACCGGCCTTACAGAAGTCACCACTGCATCCTGAACCAGGAACAGTATAATGGGGGGGGGCACAAACTTCTTCCCATATAGTCTGCAGCTGGGCTGAAAAGTCTGTCCCCCCCCCCCCCCCCAGGGAATTGGGAATATACAGGACGGACGATGAGTCCTCCCACCCCCTCCCCCACACCCCCCCCAGAGAATATACAGGATGGATGATGAGTCCGCCCACCCCCTTCCCCAGAAAATCGGGAATATACAGGACGGACGATGAGACCCCCCTCCCCAGAGAATATACAGGATGGACGATGAGTCCGCCCACCCCCCCCCCCCCCCCCCCGATGAGTCCCCCCACCCCCTCCCCTCCCAGAGAATCAGGAATATACAGGATGGACGATGAGTCCGCCCACCCCCCCCCCCCACTCCCTCCCCAGAATCAGGAATATACAGGATGGACGATGAGTCCGCCCACCCCCCCACACCCCCCTCCCAGAGAATCCCCCTCCCCAGAGAATATACAGGATGGATGATGATGAGTCCCCCCCCCCCCCCTCCCCAGAGAATCAGGAATATACAGAATGGACGATGAGTCCGCCCACCCCCCCCCCCCCCCCCAGTTCCCCCCCCCCCCTCCAGAGAACAGAAAAATGGGAATATACAGGATGGACGATGAGTCCTCCCAATCCCCCCCCCCCCCCCCCTCCCCAGATAATCAGGAATAAATAGAATGGACGATGAGTCCTCCCAACCCCCTCCCCAGAGATAATATACAGGATGGATGATGAGACCCCCCCACCCCCTCCCCAGAGAATATACAGAATGGACGATGAGTCCTCCCAATCCCCCCCCCCCCCCTCCCCAGATAATCGGGAATATACAGATGGATGATGAGTCTGCCCACCTCCCCCCCCACCCCCCTCCCCAGAGAATATACAGGATGGATGATGAGTACCCCCCCCCCCTCCTCAGAGAATATACAGAATGGACGATGATGTCCGCCCACCCCCCCCCCCATCCCTCCCCAGAGAATCGGGAATATACAGAATGAACGATGAGTCCGCCCACCTCCCCCCCCCCCCCTCCCCAGAGAATATACAGAATGGACGATGAGTCCGCCCACCTCCCCCCATCCCCTCCCCAGAGAATCGGGAATATACAGGATGGACGATGAGTCTACCAACCCCCCCCCCCCACCCCCCGTGGAGGAGACTTCTGACCCGGGGGAGGAGACTTCTGTGATAATAAATGGATTCATATCTTCGCTATCCTTATATAAAAGACAGTTATTGGTCGATCCGTCAGATATTCACCATCAATGCCAAAATTCC